TTACCAGTCATGGCGCTGCCCCTCCCCCATGCCCAACTGCATTTACACATTCACAGCATACTAAGTGTATCATGAGAGCCTCACAGTACAGACACTGAAAATAGAGAGATCCATTTGTGCAGAAGTTAGGACACTCTTCATCTTAATTCATTGCTGTGTGCGCTTGCTTTGGAGACTGCCTGTAGGGAAAGGGGGAAGGAAATTTCCTGAGGTTGAAGAATAGCACTGACCATGAAAGGTGAACATATTCTCACTAAATTTTCATCCATTTTTGTTTTTTTGTTTTGTTTTGTTTTTCCAAAAGATAACCCTGTTGCCAACTTAGAAGCAACAGCTCCAAATAAGAACCCAGTTCACTAACGAATGTCCTCTCTAGATTCCAGCCCATCCAGCCTTTTCCACCATGCTTTTACAAGGGCTGTCATATGTACTCTTCATGCCATTAGGGAGCTCAGATGCTATTATTCTGTTGTGAGTGTCTCTAGCCTGGAAGAGAGTGGCTGAAACACAGCAATGCTAATTGTGTTTTGGAGAGAATGGAACATCTTTGCTTAGCCTGAATGCTGGAGAGGAGTCTCACACAGGCTCTTGAGGGCAGTTAATGGAAGGTCCACTGCAGCTTTTTGTTTAGTTGGTTACTTTGGGACTGCCATGAAACTAAAAATCAAAATTAGTTCTCCCAGTTCTGGTGAAGTAGTCCTGAAATTACAGCTATTCTGGAGGTTGAAGCAGGAGATGGACAGGCATGCCTGCGCTTACAGAGTGAGCTCAAAGACAGTCTGATTAACTAAGACTATGTCTCAAGATAGAAAATTTTAAAAGGGTAGAGTACTTGCCTAGTATGTGCAAGACCCTGGGTTTAAACCTCAGAAAAGAAGAAAAATCTCTCTGAAAATAAGTGTATTATAAAAAGGCTTGCTTTTCTGCAGGTTGAATTTACCGAAGAATAATTTTTTGTTGTTCCATTTTATTCCGATAGAAAGACAACCAAAGAAAATCATTTTGGGAGAGGAATTCATCTGATTTTTTCATCTGGTTTGCTACAGCTGTTATAGACAGCGCCATTCCCAAGACTTAGAGCAACTCCATTTACTGTTTCTGTATTTTCACCAACTAAATCCACTTTTCTAGTCTTGGTTTCTAACTCTGAATGCCAGCATTGGCTATCCAGTGTCATTCCTGATCGTTTCTGGCCATTACAAACATTGCAAAGAGCCTGGTTCTCTCGAGATGCCTAATCTAGGGTACACCCATGGGAATGGCAGCTAGTCTATTGCTTCTATCTGCATTGCCAAGCCCAGTGCTATGAGCATGCTTCTCACTGACAAGAAGCAGTTAGATTACCAGAGGCCAAACATAAAACCCAGTTCGTGTAGGACTTGGAAAAAAATTGGTTCATATTTCAATTTTAAGAATCAGAGAACCTCAGCCAGGTAGGGGTGGTGCACACCTTTAATCCCAGCACTCAGGAGACAGAGGCAGGTTGGTTTCTGTGAGTTAGAGGCCAGCCTGGTCTACAAAGTGAGTTCCAGGATAGCCAAGGCTACACAGAGAAATCCTATTTCAAAACAAACACACACAAGAATTAGAGAACCCCTATTGTCAGTAGTTAAGGAAAACTTGCCTTGCTGCTGTTTGACACTGAAAACATGTTTAAACTTTGCTATTTAATTAGTTCCTCTTTATATGGCTCTACCAGGCAGCAAGGACAGCTGTCTGGGACTCTACACAAGAGAATGCTCATGAATGCTACTTTCCTTCGGTAGCACAACCTGTTTCTTCTTGTTTGGATAGTTTGAAAGGTACTTCTTGGGATTTGTATGCATTTTCATATGTGTGTATCCTGTTGCTTGCTCACAGTCACTCAGCCCGAGACATCAGTTGGTTTTGTGCCTTATGTGCGGCCAGGGATATGGAAGGAGAGGAGCAGTGGTCGTAAGACTTTCTGGAAGAAACGAATGTCACAAAACATTTTGTTTTTACTTTACAAAATACTAACTTTGTAAAAGAACTCTACATTTCATTGGAGTCAATTCTATCACATTGGGAGCAGGGGTTGAGACAGGGTGTTTCTCTCTGTAGCCCTGGCTGTTCTAGAACTCACTCTGTAGACCAGACTGGCCTCAAACTCAGAGTGCTGGGATTAAAAGTGGGCACCCTCATGCCAGGCCAATTCCATCAGCCTTAATCAGAAAGATATATACCGTGCACCTACATGCACAGTCATTTACAATCATCCCATTATTTTGCTTACAGTGTTTTTAACCTGCAGAATAATGTTCCACTGTGACATTTTCATAAATGTGTACCATGTGTTTTGCCCATATTCACCCCAACTCCTCTTGGTATCACCTTCCCCTCTCCTCCCTCGCTGGTCCCCTTCTTCTCCCAGCCAGTCCACCTGCCCTGATGGCATTTGTATTTACATCTATAAAAATCTAGCTCTGGCTGGGCGCGGTAGCTCTCCCCTTTAATCCTAGCGCTCAGAGGCAGACACAGAGACAGGTAAGATTTCAAGGCTAGTCTCGTCTACATAGCTAGCTCAAGGCCAGACACATAATGAGAGCCTGTTTCAAAAACAAAAACAAAACAAAAAATCAAATTTAGTTTTGCATGTGAAATAAAAGTGAAATTTCTCCCAATTATTTAAGTGAGCTGCTTATGCAACCAAGGGGTTGCAAATGTGAGAATTATAATCTGATTAACACCTTTCCCAGGCCACGGCTTAGGTTGTTTGTGAGGAAACAACGGAAATATGGATAATTTATTTTCCTGATTTGCCTGGGGTTCAGATTTGGCCTTCCTCTACCTGGATTAAATTCATGACTCTTAATCAGTTAACATGAGTCCCTGTTGTGGAATCTCCACACTGTGTGGAGATGTATTTGTTTCAACTGGTGTAGTGAAAAGCTGAATGGCCAATAGTTAGGCAGGAGGTATAGGCGGGACTTGGGGGGGGGAAGAGGAGGAGCTAATCGAAGTGCAGACAGACAACATGACTAGGAATGAGTTGGATACACAGAATGGGAAAGGAAAAAACCACGGGGCAAAACGTAGTTTGTAACCAGTCTTTCGCTGTCCCACCAACCAGCTTCCAAATAACAACACAGAGACTTATGAAAACTCAGCCTTAGCTTAGGCTTGTCCCACTAGGTCTTATAACTTAAATTAACTCATTTAATCTACATTTTGCCTTGTGGCTTTTTACCTCTCTTTCCTATTCTGTGTGTCCAACTTATTCTGCATCTCGTTGGTATCTCCCTGTGCCTCGATTCTCTCCTCCTCTTCCCTTCTCTCCCTAGAAATCCCACCTGTACCTCCTGCCTAACTGTTGGCCATTCAGCTTGTTTGTTTATTTCAGGTTTTTGTTGTTGTTGTTGTTGTTTGGTTTTTAGTTTTTGGTCTTGTGAGACAGGGTTTCTCTGTGTAACTTTGGAGCCGGTCCTGGAACTGGCTTTTGTAGACCAGGCTGGCCTCAAACTCACAAAGATCCGCCTGTTTTTGCCTCGGAGTGCTGGGATTAAAGGCGTGCACCACCATAACCTGCCATTCAGCTTTTTATTCCACCAATCACAGCAAATACATCTTCACACAGTGTACAAATGTCCCACAACAGTCCCTTTCTATGTGTTAAAGGAAAACAGAACTCATTTTTTTAAAAAATGAAAAGAACTAAAAGAGGAAAAGAAATAAAGAAAAATACCATTTAAATAACTTCAACAAAAACTAATTCATTGCAAACCCACTAACCAGAAATGTGTGACAGGTCAGAAAGATACGCGACCAATGTGTACCTTTGGCCAAGTTGTGTAAGCATTTGCTAAATCAATGAGTGGAAACTATTTCAGAGAAAAAAATTGACACTTCCAAAAAAGACTTGAGTAATTCTAAACATTTGCAATATGAAATGACAGTTTAATTATAAATAACTCATCCATAACTTAGACGGTGTTGTGCCTCCACGAAAATCTTTAACATCCTTACAGAATTTGTTTTAACGATGAAGGTAGCCTTTCCATTTTAAAATGAACATGAAATACATTTTAAAAAGAAAATGAAAAACCTTTTCCTAAGTGGGATGGTTCTTCCTACCAGCCAGCTTTCTGACTGAAGGAGGTTATTGGGTGTTCTAGATTCCTACATGAAATCTAAAAGTAGCCTGTGTGGGTTCAGATTCATCACCTGGGCATGCTCATTATGGACACGGTGCCTTCATTTCCTTACCTGCAAAACGGGGTAAGGAGTATCTAAGATATTTTAAAACTGTAAAACACCTACTGCCTAACTCTTTAAAATTTTAGATGTTATAGATACCAAGGTAAAAAGACACTGGCCAGAGAAAGCCATACCTCAGGGTGTCACTGGGAGATGGGACACGGTGAACATTTTAAATGTCACAGGGAAACCTCATCTTGGAAGCCTAAGGTATGTTATTTCTACACCTCTGTCCATCACAAATCTTTGAACTCTTCAGGTCTCTGTTTCTTCGAGGCTCTTACTGAAGAAACCCAAACTAGCCTGCCAGGCACTCCTGGTTAATTATGCATAGGTTTATCCAAGCCATTGCCTCTTTGTCTCTAGGAAAGGTCTCAACCCTCTTTTCAAGTTCCTTCTAGAAGGCGCCTATAGTCTTCCCTCGTCCACGCCCTCCCGAGACTCCCGAACAGCTCTGCTTGGGAATCCCTTTTTAATGAATTCCTCTGCTCCTTAGAGGCTTCCTGGACGCCCCATATCATCGTCTCATAATTGTTCTTCAAAATCCGTTGTTGAGCAGCGCCCCTGAGCTCATCTGATTCCTAGTTAAAGACACAAAGCGGTGATCTGGAGCTCCCATGTTGGTGAGCTGAGCTGGTGACTAGGTTGGGGACTGCCCCTTTGGACACCACAAAGAGAGAGCGAGGGGAGGATAGTGACGCGCCCGAATAGGTCCGCTAGAGCGGAGAGAAACTAAGGCTTACGGCGGATTGAGTAGAGGGCAACACTCGCGCACGCGCGCGAACACACACAGCCACACTCGCACACATAAACACACACTCACACACGGGTGAGAGCCGGGCAGAGAGGCAGCACCAGGTGTCTGACAACCGCATGGCTCGGATCAGGACGCCGTCTCTAAGCGGGTATCGTCGCAGTGCCGTCCCTGCCCCCGCGGCAGGTTACAGTTCGAGCATCCCTCCGCCCCGCCCGGCTCCCCACCCCCCGCGAACTCGGGTCCCCAGTGTCCTCTAGAACGCCGGCGTGGCTGTCGCGCTTCGAATCCCCTGGTCCACTCTCGCCCTGGTCGCCGGCGGACGCGTCTCTGGCCAGCCTCCGGCCCCGCATCAATCATTAACGCGGCGGCCCCAGCGGCTGCAGCCCCAGGAGTGAGTGTGTGTGTGTGTGTGTGGGGGGGTGTTGGTAGAGGACGCGAGACAGGGGACACCTCCATCCCTCGCCGCGGCGCAGACACCCTAACCCCGGGGGCCCCCGCCCTGCGCGGCGCCGCCCTCCCCCGCCAGCGCCTCGCGCACATCCCGCCTCCCGCCGCCCGCCCCGCGCGCACGATGCCCAGTCACCGCCGCGCCGCTGCCGCCGCCGCCGCCACCGCCACCGCAGTCAGCCGCGCCACCGCCTCCACCACCGCAGCGCGGCCGGCCGCGCGCTGACGGACGCGAGCGTGGCGAGGACGCCGCCGGGAAGCCGAGCGCCCCTGCCTCCCGGTGTCCTGAGCTCCCGGAGCAGCCGGCTTCCAAGCCGAGGCCGCGTCGCCAACCTGCGGCCGCGGTCCCGCGCGCGCGCGCGCGCGCACAAAGGCTCCGACGGCGACCGGCACCCGCGGTCGCCTTGCGCGCGTCCTAGCTCAGCCCGGGGCACCATGCCGCGGCGCCTGCAGCAGCGGGGCGCGGGCGCCAAGGGACCACCGGCCCCGGCCTCCGGGCGCTCGCCCCCCGCCCCCGCCCCCCGGAGCCCGCCGGCCACCGCCGCCAAGCCGCTGCTGCGCTGGGACGAGGTGCCCGACGACTTCGTGGAGTGCTTCATCCTGTCCGGCTACCGGCGGCTGCCGTGCACCGCGCAGGAGTGCCTGGCCTCGGTGCTGAAGCCCACCAACGAGACGCTCAACTTCTGGACGCACTTCATCCCGCTGCTGCTGTTCCTCAGCAAGTTCTGTCGCCTGTTCTTCCTGGGCGGCAGCGACGTGCCCTTCCACCACCCGTGGCTGCTGCCGCTGTGGTGCTATGCGTCGGGAGTGCTGCTGACCTTCGCCATGAGCTGCACGGCGCACGTGTTCAGCTGTCTGTCGCTGCGCCTGCGCGCCACCTTCTTCTACCTGGACTACGCTTCCATCAGCTACTACGGCTTTGGCAGCACCGTGGCCTACTACTACTACCTGCTGCCCAGCCTGAGTCTGCTGGACGCCGGGGTCATGACGCCGTACGTGCAGCAGCGCCTGGGCTGGCACGTGGACTGCACCCGGCTCATCGCGGCCTACCGAGCGCTCGTGCTGCCCGTGGCCTTCGTGCTGGCCGTGGCCTGCACCGTGGCCTGCTGCAAGAGCCGCACTGACTGGTGCTCCTACCCCTTCGCCCTGCGCACCTTCGTCTTCGTCATGCCGCTCAGCATGGCCTGCCCCATTATGCTGGAGAGCTGGCTCTTCGACCTGCGAGGCGAAAACCCCACGCTCTTCGTGCACTTCTACCGTCGCTACTTCTGGCTGGTGGTGGCCGCCTTCTTCAACGTCAGCAAGATCCCTGAGCGCATCCAACCGGGTCTCTTCGACATCATCGGCCACAGCCACCAGCTCTTCCACATCTTCACCTTCCTCAGCATCTACGACCAGGTGTACTACGTGGAAGAGGGCCTGCGCCAGTTCCTCCAGGCGTCCCCTGCCGCGCCCACCTTCTCCGGCACGGTGGGCTACATGCTGCTGCTGGTGGTTTGCCTGGGGCTCGTCATCAGGAAGTTCCTGAACAGCTCCGAGTTCTGCAGTAAAAAGTGAGCCTCCACCCAGGAGGCTATGGTTTGCCCGCCTGTTTGCGTGGCATTTCTGTTGTTATTGTTGGTTTGTTTTCAAGTTTTGTTGTTTTCCTTCTTTGCTAGAGGAGGATGCTGCAGACCACAAGAGAAAGAGAAAGGTCTGCTGCTAGTTGGGGATCCCAGTCTACTGGCCTTTGGAAGAGGGAGATGGGCGTGATGCAGAAGGAAGAGGGCCTCTGGAAAGAAAAAATTAAGTGTTGCCCGTGATATCCAGGGATTTTTGCAAAGACAACGAAGAAAATCACAGGTAGAACCCCCAACAGTTGGCTTTTCTAACAGTCTTGTGTCCCTTAGTGAAGTCAGGTATGCAGTAAAGAGGATAAACCTAAACCCCTGACTGCCTCCACTGCAGTCTAGAAATGCTCGGATTTGTTAAAAGAATGGACCTTTCTTTGTTGGGAAATGGGCACAAAGACACAAACCCAGGGCTTAACCCGCTAGACAATGCATGGAATGTGAACACAAGTTAATTATTTTAAAAATGTTTCTCAGATGTTATTTAAATGATAATATATACAATGATTTTTTCATTATTTATCAAAGCCCGTGAGATGCACTGAGTTTTCTTTGTAACATAGCTCTGATTTGGCAGCCTTCTGCATTGCACACGTGAACTGGACATTAGGACAAGCTGCTTGAGAGTTCTCGACTACATTTTTAAACAGTGTTTTCTGAAGGCCTATGAGTGTCGTGATAAAGTGGAATGACTTCTTAGGGACCCTGATTAGACTATTGGTGAGGTTCCAGTGGTTTGTATAGGTCTCCAATTCCTACTTACTTTAATGTATTCCACAAAACCCATCTGGGTTTTTATTTTTGTTTTATAAATCAGACTCTTTCTACTTATTTAAGTTGCCACTAAAATAAATGTGCCTTTTGAAGCAATGCCCAAATGACTGGTCCTCAATACACCATTTCTTGTATTGGGAAAATAGCGTATTCTTTGCCTACTTTTCTGCAAATTGTGAATGAACAGAAGGGAAGGAAGATGGGCTTGGTTTTAGGTTTATAGTGGGACCAGAAATAGCTTAGAGGTAAAGTATACGGCTTGTGCAAGAGTCAGCCCTCTAATGTGGCTAAGGTTCCTAGTGCCACCACAAGGGGCGGGAGAGGGGACATCGATGCATGGATCCTTGCTCAAAGTTTAAAAGGCAATCAGGAATATGTGAGGCAGTTCTTTTATGGGAATTAGGAGCATATTACTTATTACTGAAATTTTTGAGTTAAGACTACAGTTGTCCAGTTAAACACCAAAGCCTCAATTGAATCCAGACTGTGGAAATGATTGGCAATCACCTGGAAAAGCAAATGCCCCCATATTCTTTCAATGACCCTATTGACCAGTGTTGTTAGACATTTCTTATGTTAACCTGTCATTAAAATGGCAACGCTTCATCACAAACCATCGAGGCAGTGTATTTAAATATGCCTCACACTTCTTGGTAAGGCCTTCTGGCTAAGAGCCAACCACATTGGTGAATGGGGAGTCCTGGCTTCAAGGTGTAATTTAAGGCAAGCACATAGGTTTCATGAACAGTTACCTCAGTACTGGGAGGATGGTGCTCCTCAAAAGACAGCTGTTTTGTTTATGCTCGTAATTGCTACTGTATTTGTAAACAGAGAATCTTAGCACAATTCCCTGGAGGAACCAATGCCCCGTGTGTGTTCACTTGCACACAGAAGTTAAATCCCTGTGTGCACTGAATTTAGGGCTTCTTAGTGGGATTTTAAACACACTTTGCACAATCCTGATGAATGCCAGTGTCTCATTCTTTGATGCGTGCTCCCCGCAGGTACTGGTCCCCAGCCACACTTAATTCATCGAGCATGTTCAAGGGTAACTGTGGAGATCAGGGTACAGCCACCCCACCTACTCACTCACATGCCACTGTTGCCTCTTGTAGCGTCTCAAAGAATGTCCACTCATAACCTAGAGAAACAGGTTAAGGGTGTTTCGTCGGGTTTGTTGTTGTTTTGTTTTTGTCTAATGGGACCCCCCCCACACACACACACTTTTAAAAGAACTTTCGAGACACATCTGAAAGAACCTGTGCCTGTGAGGACAGAAACTTAAAACCCAGAACTTGTCATTTTAGGCTTTGGTTGCAGAGCTTCCAGGTCTCCTCTTGCTGTGTGTCTTTGTCTTTAAGCAGAGGCCGCTTGAGGATAAAAATCACATCCGTATCATTTTCAAGTGATTATGATGCATGAGCCAATGAGATGACCTGCTTTCCCAGGAGAGGTCTCCCCACCCCGTATGATCCAGGGAGAAGGAGGGTTCACCTCCCCTCTCCTCCTGGCATTTCCTTTCTTCAGGTTCCTGTCCCCCTCTTTATGTGCCACCAGCATTGGCAATGGGACCCTCTAAGTGAAAACAGGTACCACATACACTATTCAAGATCAGGTATGGCTTAACTACCTGTTACTGGCTGATTTAACATTATTTCTGATAATATGATGCAGATAATGCCATTTTAGAGCAAACATTTACTCAGTCTCCATTTGCATGGAGCTAACCAGGCTTATTACATATCTCAGGAGTAATGTAGCCATCAGAATGGAACTGTTTAAGAAATACTTTCCCATGATCTCCATTTTGTCACATCCACTAAATTCCATTTTGTTTTATTGCACTTAACAGTTCAAAATATATGACAAATCATAAATCACAATCGGCTCCATTATCTTCATATAATCTATTTGGTTGTAAAATTTTGAAGCATCATATGAAATCTATTTTATTTTCACTTGTTATTTATAACCTGGCGGCATCCTAGGAGCAGCCCCTTGGAGTTGTGCCTGGGAAATGACTGTCTGACCCTGTGCCTGTTGCTCCGTGGTTGATCCCGAGGCTGGCTGGCTAAGGTTTAGTTGGTTAGGGGAAGATCCTTTCTTCCTACCCCTCTTGCCACTCAGGTGAAGAAGGTGACCTTCCCAGAGAGAGGAAGTACAACTGCTCCATGTCACACTGGCTTGTAAAAATAAACATGATCTTTTTCCAGTAGCCATACACGTTCCATAAATAACCCAGGGAGAAAGTATGGGGCTACGTAACTGTCCAGAATGGCCTTCATCTGCGTCCATTCATAAAGCCTGCCTATAACTGCTTGCAGTCAGAAAACCACTTAGCCTAATGTTTCCTGCTACTTTAGGTATGGCAACCGTTGCTAAGAATGTAAAATCGGTAAATGTTTTTGATTTGGTAATGAATCTGAGGGCTAATACCCAGGACTGTTTATCTTCAACTCCCCCAGTGAGTTAATCTGCATGGAGCTGTGGTAGGCAGGTATGGCAGGAGTTACTTTTCAAGGGTTTCACCTTTGGCTGAAGGCAACAGAATTCAGTCTTCAGACTGATGTCAGAAGGTGCTCAGTCATGTCTGTTAGTCTGCAGGACTGTGTTATGTGATCAGACATACAGATGCTAACTGGATATATGGTATATAGTCTTGGATAAATATATCCCTTTAATTGAATATTTAATTTTGGAATAGAACAAAAGAAGAGATGGCTACCTTTAAAATTAGATTATAAAATCTGAAAATGTTACCAGCCACTGGAACGGTTTTCCTCATCTTATTCTTCATCTGTTAGGTTTGCCATTGCTGACTCTGTTAGGGTCCTTTGACTGACGTCCATCTGGTCTTCTTCTAATCTCCTTAGTGATTATCGAACATCTTCTGAATGTAAGACATTAAGCAAGGATCCATGCATCTGCCCATATTATTACAAACATTACCAGAGTTAGAAGTTTGGGTCTTTTCTCCCATTGATATAAGATCAGTATGCCAGAATCCAATTTTAATCAACACAGTAATTTATCTGCAGCTTTTTACTTTTTTCTCTGTTCCTTAGCCTAAAGTTTTAAAAAAAAACCTTGAAAACTTTAATTTACAATTCAGGTATAAGAAGAATATGTCTATGAACAGAATTTAAAGTTTACCGTCACAATAACGACACTGCTAATGATGAGCTACCGGAAGGCTTAGAGCATCGGCCTTTCTGAAGAGGGTTCCATTCAAGGTGCCTAACATGAGGTGTAATTGAGTGACTTTCCCAGATAGTGTGGGGAAGTCAAAGCAAGACTCTTCACAGGTGTTCAAATGCTTAAGTCTCCAGAAAGTTCCTAGCCTTTTCTTTCCTTCTTCTAAAATCCTTAAGTTGTAACTTTTCAGAGGGTATCATAAAAAAGAAATCATTTGTCAAAAGAGGGGCTCACACACACACACACACACACACACACGCGCGCGCATGCATGCAGCATGCGTGCGCACGCACGGTTGGCAGAAGGTGTAGGAAAGACAAATGGGGTTGGATTCGAGCAGTCAGCACAGGGCAGCTGTTCAGCTATGGACAGGGTTACCTGGTTTTAAATGTTGTCCCCGTGTGGACTCGGAGGGTGTCAGTGCTTAAGCAGGTGACAAGGGATCCAATTTGGCATCCTAACAATATCCTGTAGCTTTTGACTAGAGCACTGAGCGTCATGGGATGTTTTGAGTGGTCCGTTTATCCCACGGCTTAATTTGTTTCCATAAAATTAGGGCATGGGTCAAAAAGGCATTAGGGGCTAATTGTGAATCACATTTTGAGTCATTTTCTTGAAGGGTTGCCAGGATTGGTTGGCATGTATTGCCAGACGAAAGCAAACGAGCCTTGACACCCTGAGGAAGGAAGCCTGGAAGGCTGGAAACGGGCATACAGGATATTCCTTTATGAGGGACCACAAGCCTTCCTATTGAACTTTGGGGTCTTTGATATTGCCAATAATTTTTTTAAATTACAAAATGATTATCCGTCCTTCTTAGTAATCAAGAAAATGTAACATAAATTTCTGTTGTCATTTCCCAAAGAACATATATATAGTATTGCTTTTCTGGTTTGTGAATTTCTCACTAATTTGTAGGCTTTTTTTTTTTTTGGATTGTTTTGTTTTGTGCTAGCGTCTTACAGTCTGTGAGCAAGCTGCAGAACTGGATAGTTCAGTTATAGGTCAGAGCCCAAAATGCCCATTTAGCTAGTGATGGTGGCAGGGTGTGACTTTGGAAAGCTCCGAACACACACCTGTATGCAGTTCCGACTCGGTGCAGACCAATGGCCGCCCCTTTCAGGTTTTGGAAATAACCTGCCCCCTACCTAATGTAACATGGAAGCTTAATGCTTTTTGTCCTGAACGTGACAGTTCTCAAGGTCATGTCTTGAGTGTGCAAATTTATTCTCGAATGTGTAAGAGTGGCAGGTCACCTTCCCCACGCCTTACAGCTCCACCCAAAATATGCAATAAGTACTTGCACTCGAGGCCGAGTTGGGAGGAGCCCTGAGATGGTTCTTTAGCCATAAAGACCCTGTGTCTCATGGGTACCAGCACACCGAGATAGGACACCGTGCTAATATGCCGTTTCTGGGTGACGCGTCGGGACACGCTTCTTTCCCTTCTTTTGGGCCCATCTCTATTTAGAAAGTACACTCTTTTTTAACTTGCTGGATGCAAAACAAGACAATTCCTGGGAAATTTTTTAGAGACGTGTTTTGATTTAATATTCCCAAGGTTTGTAATAGCAACTTGTGTGTTTAAAAACGAACAAAAAGCAGGCCTTTGCACATGGATGAGAAGGCTTTTTTCCCCAAAGCCTCATCTTTGTTTGGGCATTTAATCATTCTGAGGTCTTACCCAATGATAAAGGTCTCTTGGGCCTTTCAAACTGTAAATATTACATAGTTTTGTTTTGTTTTTTAGAAAAAGCAGATTCTAGGTGTGTAACAAAGCTAAACTTAAGCCTTTTTGTGAAATTCTGGTTAGAAACTTCACTAAATTCCCTCTCCTGAGGAGGTTCAGTAATAAAGGCCTGTCTCTGCCACATTGTTAGAAACTTCACTAAATTCCCTCTC